TTTTTGTATGGCCCAGGTCCGACTATATCTCCTCATCTTCCTCTCAAGCCCTCTCGCGCCGACCAGTTTGGGCCGACCCATGCGCCTGCACGAGGCACTTTTGAGGCACACCGAACAGCGCTCCAGCGCTCCCCTCCTTGAGAGCTGGCTGCCGACACTTCGCGCAGCGCTGGCTGCGATATTCGTTTTCACTATTTGCCCTGCCGAGTTTCATGCTCTGCCTTGCCGGGCGGGCCCTCCTGAGGGGGGAAAAGCAAACACATAAATCAGCCAGGCAAAGGACCCACCCATCTGCAGTTGTGAGTACCGTCGTGGTTTGCACCACATTCGGTGGAGCTCCCATGGGGCCGCGAAGCGTGCGAGGGTGTGCCAGAATTGATGCGGTGGGCGCATGCGAACGCAGCCGTTGGGGACGTCGGTGTAGCTCCGTGTGGGGCGCGAAACGTTTGAGGGTGTGCCAGAATGGGTGCGGTGGGCGCATGCGAACGCAGCCGCCCGGGCCGTCGGTGTAGCTCCGTGTGGGGCTGCGCAGCGTGTGAGGGTGTGCCAACATGGCTGCGGTGTGCGCATGCGAAAGCAGCCAGTGGAGCCGCCGGTGGAGCTCCCTATCAGGCCAAAATGGGCGCGGTGGGCGCATGCGAGCGCAGCCATTGGAGCCGTCGGTGGAGCCCCCTGTGGGGCCACGAAGCGTGTGAGGGTGTGCCAAAACAGGCGCGGTGGGCGCATGCGATCGCTGCTACTGGGGCCGTCGGTGGAGCTCCTTGTTGGGCCACGAAACGTGTGAGGGGTGTACCACAATGGGCGCGGTGGGCTCGTGCGAACGCTTGCTTTCATGCGGAGGGCAGAGGCAAGGAGGGGGAGGATGGAGAAGGAGGGGGAGGAGGGCGGGAGGTGAGGTGACCCGGGGCGCTGTCTCTTCAAAACGAGGACTCAACACATGATGATTTGGCCAAAACAACAGTTCCAGTCTGCACCGTCCACTTCAAGCCTGTTCAGCATGTCTGGGTTCTTTGATCGGAGCACCCGCCAGGGGAGTCGGACAATGCGGAACATCCGAGTGGAACGAAGTCTTCGAGCGACAGGAGAAGAAGTATACCAAATGCGGTCGTGGATTCTGTGTGTTTCAAGCACCCAAGCGAAGGAGTGGTTCTCGTTCTCGTTTCCCTGGTCGCGCCGATTTTGAGGAGCCACCCAAGGCCTCCAAGGCGCAGCCCAGCGAGGACCGCCCCACCATTCGGCGCCCTCTCGTGGGCACAGCGTTCCTCGGTCATCGACCAACCCCCCCAGGCCACGAACTCCCAGGACCCAAAGCTCAAGGCCCTGCTCAAGGCCAGGATCGGGCTCTTCCCGGCGAAGCCACACGGCGGAGGCTGCCCCACCGGCGGCGGCCGTCAGCCACCAGACGGCGGGCTGTTCTTGGGGGCATTGCAACCATAAGCATGATCGGCCCGTCGCCAGCGCAAGTACGGCCCCGCTTATGATTAAGAAACCTCCCCCCGAAAAGCTGGCCCAGCGTTTCTTAACTAACTTGCTGGAAAGTTGGCTCAGTTTCTTAAGGGGACTGGTAGCCTTGGATCCTAGAAATGAATAGTGTACGTTCCTGGGGCGCCCGGGGCGGAGTTGGAGTGCCCAGGGCTGCTACCCCCGCGCCCCGTTGGGGAGGCCACCCCCGCGGGCGAGCAGGGCGGGGCCCAGGTGGACGACAACGGCCGCCGCCCTGCCGACGTCTACCTGCCGCGGTGGCGCAACGGCACGGCGGCCGCCTGGGACTTTGCCGCCACGTCAGGGTTGCGCGCCGATCTCCTCGCCGCGTCAGCCGCTTCGTCAAGCGCAGCGACGGAGCGGCACAAGGAGTTCAACAGGCAGCACAGGGCTTCACCTTCCTCCCCATGGTGGTGGAAGGCCCAACACGCCCAACCCTCCTGGCCGCGGCCACGGCGGCTTCCACGGCAGACGCCGTGCGAGGTGCCCCTGGCGCTGTCTAGCGCCCCCCCGCCCTCCCCCCCGCCATTGCTAGGCAGCACGGGCGCCCCCCGCGCCCTTTCGCCAACGTCGCGCCGGCGACCCTCCTACGCGCCGTCCGGCCCTTCCTCGGCGGGGCGGTGGATGGATCCCGCAGAGGGCAATCCACACCAAGCCGCATCGTGCTGGGTTCGGGCGGCCACCCCGCTCAGGTCGCCGCCGTATTATAGGGTCCGTCCGTAGCCTCGTCGCGGGTGGCTTTTCTCTCCCGGCCCCTGGCCTGGCCTGTCTGCTTGCGGTCGCTGTTTTCCTTCCTCCTTGTCCTCCTCCTCCTCCTCCTCCTCCTCCTTCTCCTCCTTGTCCTCTGCTCGTTGCTTATCTCCCTTTCCTTTCCTCCTGTCTCCGCCTGGCCCGTCTTCTGCCTGCCCGCCCGCCCCGCCGGCCCTGGGCGTTCGTCGTCGTCTGCCTGCTTCTCCCCTCCTCGTCCCCTTCCGCCGGACAGCGCAGCCTGCCCGGAACCAGCGTGGCGGCACGTAGGGCTTCGGCACCTGGCTCCAAAAGCTAGCCCAGCGTTTCCTCAAGAAGTTGTTGGGAAGCTGGCCAGGCTTCCTTAACTGACATATATTTTTACTGTAGACTCATTCCGGACAGCCTCAGAGGTGCCAGAGTCGAAGGGAGTCGGCCGCAGCAACAGCGCCATAGCGGCAGCAGGGAGTGCTTAAGGCGTCGAGCGGCTGAGCCTTTCCTTGGCCAGGACGTTGCCCAGCCGCCTAAGCCAGAGGAAGCGCCAGGCAACGAGTGGGTTTTCGCGGTCGTCTGGGACCCCGTCCTTCGCAGGGGCGCCAGCGTTTTGGATGGCGAAGAGGGTGAAAAGGCCGAGCTATGCAAGTCAGATCTACTATGGGCTCCTCCAAGGTGCAGGCGTTCTTCCAGTCCAGAGGCAGCGTGGTGAAGTAGTCATGGTCCGCCACGGCTGCGAACGTCAAGGACGGGATCGCCAATCCTTTGGCCACCCCCAAAAAAAAAGGCGGAGGAAAAGCACGACCCACTCAATGGCGATACGGCGGCTGAATATGCTGCGCATCTTGCTCCCCCCTGCACCTGGGAGGCACGTGGCGCTGCGGGTTCCGACGACACGGCGGCGGCAGCAGACGCGACGGCTCTTGAGGCGGAAGCCATCTCCAAGGCAGTCAAGAAAGAGGGACCCAGGATTTCCGCAGCCAAGTTCAAGGCTGCTGGGAGGGCTAATATTTTCGGCCTTTCGACTCAGCATCAGGTTCTGAGAATCGTTGAGGCCCGCGTGTCAGCGAGTCAGAGCCGCGCGTGGGTTTCTCGCGCGAAGCAGAAAAGCCTTCTGCTCACCTGCAGCCCAGTTCGTCCCACGGGGAGGCAGCGGCACCCGGCCCGCGCCGAGAGGGCCAACGAGCGTGGCGAATGGCGCTTGGCACGCGGTCGCCTGCAGGTGGGGGGGGGCTTCGCCAGAGGCCGAGCGCACCGGTGCCCTCAAGGCACCGGGGCGCAACGTTTTGAATGGGTTCACGGCGTCAGTGGTGCACCTCGCTGGTTCCCGTATCGTCCTCATTTTGTCCTATACAGGTTCTCGTCCATTGGACCGTCGACCTGCCCAGGCGAGAGGAGCGTGGAGCCGCGGGTTCTCTCGTCCTCTCCGCGCTCGGGCCCCGACGAGCACGTCGACGGGCGCGCCAGCTCCGGCGGCGCCAGCTGCGCGCGCACTCCAGGAGGACACAGGGCGGCCTCACTCACTGCGCCGCAGTGCCTGCCCTGACTCCAGATCCGCCCTACTTTGGCTTTTTTCCCAGCTTAAAATTGCGTCGGAAATCCACTTATAAGGGGCCGAACAAGTAGGGCGGAAATTGCTGCACCCAACATAAAATAGGGCGGAAATCCACAGAAACAGCAACAGAAAAGCAGGGCGGAAACTGGCATCAGCGGGGCTTGAAAAGTAGGGCGGAAATCTCAAGCCCCACTTACGAATTCTCCCAAAGTAAGGCGGATCCGAAGTCAGGGTGAGGCAGCTCCGCCTTTGCCCGACGTCATGATTTTTTCATGACGCGACCCCCAGAGGTCCCGACCCATTCCCCGGGACCGGTTTTTCGTCCCGAGTCGTTTTTTGACGCTCCCGAGGCCCGGCGAGGGCCCCCGGAGGCCGAAAATAGCGAAAAACCTCCCGTCGTGATTTTTTCACGACGCGAGGAGGTCTGGGTTGCCCAGGTCGAGGCGCCGCAATGCTTCGCGGCTGCCCGGCGTCGGGCTGGCGCCCGCCACGAGGCGCTCGGGCTCGGCAGCGGCGGGCGCCGGCGCGCCGCCTCGAACGCGAGCGCGCGCCGTCTGCCGCGGGCAGCGCGAGGCCCCAGGCGCCGGGGGTCGCACGTGCTGCAGGAGGGTGCCCCGCAGGCGACCCAGACCCCCTCGAGCAATGAAAAAATCACGACGGGAGGTTTTTCCTAATTTTCGGCCTCTGGAGGCCCTTACCGGCCCTCGGGAGCGTCAAAAAACGACTCAGGATGACAAACCGGTCCCGGGGAATGGGTCGAGATCTCTGGGGGTCGACGTCATGAAAAAATCATGACGTCGGGGGTCTGGGGACGAGAAGGGACACGCCTGGAGTTACGTCGGGCCTGTCCCTCGACAAGGGGGGGGATATGCAAGAACAGTCAAGCAGAAAGATTGTCTGGGGACTGTTTTTGGGGAGCATGTTTGGGGCCTGCTTTTTGCGCATGTTTTGCATATTTCTTGCTTCTCGTCCCACAGCCCCCTGTAGGGGGACAGGCCCGACCTGAGCCTGGAGCGAGGGCGGCCACGAGGGCGGGGCAGCCTGGGCCGGCGGCAGGGCACGTGCGGCTCCCACCGCGCTCCCGGCGACGGCCTCCTCTGGCTCCCGGAGGGACTGCGGAGCAGACGGCGAGGCCTCTTTCGTCTCGACTATAGGCGTAAGCTAAGCTTACGCCTAGTCGAGGCGGCGCGCGACAATGCGATAACGCTCGGGCGGCCCACGATGCCATCCCAATGCCAAGCCTCAGGACGTCGACATGATGAAAAGTTTGCAATTTCAAAATCGTTGCGGCTCCTCGGGGGGAGGCGGCCTCGCAAAAGCTTGGCATCGCTCGGACGTGTGCATTTGTCGCTCGGCGAGGACCATCGAGGAGCCTCCTTGATCCTTTGGCGAAAAAGCCACGCACGAAACCGGAAAAAAAACAGGGAATGGACGTCCGAGCGATGGCCAGACTTGGCATCGTTCGGACGTGTACATTTTTTTCCTTCGGCGAGGACCCTCGAGGAGCCTCCTTGATCATTGGGCGAAAAAGCCACGCACGAAACCGACAAAAAACACAGGGACCCAGACCCCCGACGTCATGATTTTTTCATGACGCGACTCCCAGAGGTCCCGATCCATTCCCCGGGGACCGGTTTTTCGTTCTGAATCGTTTTTTGACGGTCCCGAGGCCCGGTAAGGGCCCCCAGAGGCCGAAAGTAACGAAAAACCTCACGTCGTGATTTTTTCACAACGCGAGGGGGTCTGGGGAGTGGACGTCCGAGCGATGGCGAGTCAGAGTGGCCTCTCGCCGGAGGGACGCCTTTGGGTGCGGGCCCGCCGATCGCCGGAAACGCGACGCGATAGGAGCGTCTTGCGCGATGGGATTTGGTCCCGCCGCGGCCCCCAAAAAGCTGGCTTTTGGGGGGGGGGAGGAGGAGGAGGAGGAGGAGGAGGAGGAGGAGGAGGAGGAGGAGGAGGAGGAGGAGGAGGAGGGGGAGGCTGACCCAGGGTCACTCCTTGCGTGTCGCCGATCATCGACAGCACGGGCAGGCGAGGCGAGGGTGCACAGGCAGAGCCCTCCTGCGTCAAGGGCAGTTACGGTAGGTTCGTGTCGTGTCGACCAGCGGCGACCCCAGCGCGGGCGTTCAAGGTTGAACGCCGCCGGCGACCCAGAATCGTTCGATGTGGAGCGATTGGGACGTTTCGGAAACGGCCGATCGTTCAAGGTTGAACGATCCCCGCGGTGTCAGAAACCAACGCCGGGGTCGACACGACACGAACCTGCCGTATGTAATTATCCGTTGCCATCCTCACACGAGCAGGCGTGCCTTGTATGTCAGGAGGGGAAAAAACACAGACACAGACACAGTGCATCGTCGATCCCCCAGAGAATATGCGGAAACAAGGAGTGGGGGGGAAGACAGAGACCCAGAAAATATGGGAACACATGGGGAGTCTGGTTATTTGTATCGATTTGTTTGTGTGTCCCAGTTCCCCTCCACTGTGGTGGCATGCGAACTGGGTGCACGCTCCTCCGTAGAAACCACCATGTCATTGCCACTGGTGCCTCTTGTTGGATGTGTCCAAGAATGCAGATCAACGGCGGTGGCGCATCCACAACGGTTACGTTTCCAATAAAACATTATAACATCTGATGCGTGAGAACGACACGTGTGCCACCATCCATGAAATGCACTACGTTTCGCCATCATGCATTTCCGATTGCTAAGCATAAGACGTTTTTTTTTTGTTTCACTTGATAGTGGAACCTCCTTGCCATCATCACACCAGAGCAACCGAAATCTGCCAACACCACGGTGCCTGGAGAGAGGGGGGAGGACGATGGAGGGAGGAGGGAGGAGGGGAAAAAACGCAGACACGAGTAATCGTCGACTCCCGGGACAAGATGGGAAAAGATGGGAAACTCTGGGAAAAGATTGGGGGGAAAGACGAAAGCCCTGAGAAGGTGGGGAATCCTGGGATTTGTGTGTACATCTGTTTGTGTGTCCCTGGGCCCCCTTGTAGAGGAGGGAGGACCCAGACCCCCGACGTAATGATTTTTTCATTACGTCGACCCCAGAGTTCTCGACCCCTTCTCCAGGACCGGTTTGTCATCCTGAGTCGTTTTTTGACGCTCCCGGAGCCCGGTGAGGGCCCCCAGGGGCCGAAAATAGCGAAAAACCTCCCGTCGTGATTTTTTCATGACTCGAGGGGGTCTGGGAGGACAGGGAGGTGCCGGAGGCCCCCCCGCGCCAGGGCGGCACACTGCCGCGGCCCGCCGCCGACACGGCCGGCCCGCCCAGCGGGAGCCACCCGCGCACCGACGCCCTCGAGGACGGCACAGGCCGCCGCGGGGCGGCGAAGAGCCCCGCGGGCCTCCCCGGGCCCGGATCCCCGAGGTGTTTGCACGTCGTGTGTCCTCCCCAGACCCCCTCGAGTCATGAAAAAATCACGACGGGAGGTTTTTCGTTATTTTCGGCCTCCGGGGGCCCTTACCGGCCCTCGGGACCGTCAAAAAACGACTCAGAACGAAAAACCGGTCCCCGGGGAATGGGTCGGGACCTCTGGGAGTCGCGTCATGAAAAAATCATGACGTCGGGGGTCTGGGTAGGTTCCCCGAGGTGTTTCGTGGATGCTTTTTCTGTGTTCTGTTTTTTCCTAGCCTTTGCATGCCCGGACCCTCCAGAGAGCGATTGGTTTAGCACTGGAGGCCTCAAAACCTAAAACAACGGAGCGAAACAGCCTAAAACCAAGACGTAGAGTAGCGTTGGGATAGGTTTGTAAGTCGGGTGCTATTTTTTAGCCCTCCTGGAAGGTCAGGGTGGGATCTGCTTTTTGTGTGTGTGCTGTGTGCTGTGTGCTGTGTGCTGTGTGCTGTGTGCTGTGTGCTGTGTGCTGTGTGCTGTGTGCTGTGTGTGTGTGTGTGTGTGTGTGTGTGTGCGTGTGCGTGTGCGCGTGTGTGCGTGTGTGCGTGTGTGCGTGTGTGCGTGTGTGCGTGTGTGCGTGTGTGCGTGTGTGCGTGTGTGCGTGTGTGCGTGTGTGCGTGTGTGCGTGTGTGCGTGTGTGTGTGTGTGTGCGTGTGTGCGTGTGTGTGTGCGTGTGCGTGTGTGGTGTGTGGTGTGTGTGTGTGTGTGTGCGTGCGTGCGTGCGTGTGTGTGTGTGTGTGTGTCTGTGTGTGTGTGCGTGTGTGTGTGTTAGGCTTTATATGGCCTCGTAGGGCCAGGGGCAGCATCTCAGCGGACGGTGCCGATCCGTCTTCGGCCCCTCTGGGCGCTCTCGCCGGGCCTCTGGAGGCCGTGGAAGACGACCCGGGATGGACAGCTTGTGCCCGGGGAGCGGGTCGAGTCGAAACCTCCCCAGACCTCCTCGCGCCGTGAAAAAATCACGACGGGAGGTTTTTCGCCATTTTCGGCCTCCGGGGGTCCTCGCCGGGCCTCGGGACCGTCAAAAAACGACTCAGGACGAAAAACCGGTCCCGGGGAATGGGTCTGGACCTCTGGGGGTCGCGTCATGAAAAAATCATGACGCCGGGGGTTTGGGTCTGAGGGTCGACATTCCCATGCAGACCCCCGACGTCGTGATTTTTTCTCACCACGTCGACCCCCAGAGGTCTGGACCCCTTCCCTGGGACCGGCTTCTCGTCCCGAGTCGTTTTTTTGGACGGTCCCGAGGCCCGGTGAGGGCCCCCGGAGGCCGAAAATCGTGCAAAGCCTCCCGTCGCGATTTTTGCACCACGCGAGGGGGGTCTGGGTTGTACCACGATCGTCATGGCGTTCGCGTCGACGCGTTCCCAGAGGCCTTCCTGCCTCGGCGGCCGCTTCTCCGCGGCCGCGCCCCGCGGGGCGCGCTCCCGAAGGGGGGGGGGGGCGGGAGCGTGCCCAGCGGCCTTCCGAGGGGGCCCGAGCCGTGCGTCCTGGCAAGCCCAGGTGCGGAGGCGTGCCATCTGTTCCCGCTGCAGTGGCCGCACCCAGAACCCCCTCCCCTGACTCCGGATCCGCCCTACTTTGGGCAATTTCGCAAGTTGGGCCTGGAGTTCCCGCCACACTTGTCAAGCCTTGACGAGGCCAATTTCCGCCCTACTGGACTTGACCAGAGACGTCAAAAAGTAAGGCGAAACTATCAGCCTTGCTTCTTGGGGGCGGAAGTGTCCGCCCTGCTTTCTCGGCTTCTTAGATGTGGATTTCCGACGCAATTCTAAGTTGGAAAAAAGGCTAACGCAGGGCGGATCCGGAGTCAGGGTCGGGTACTGAAAAAATCATGGCGGGTTTTTTTCAGAATTTTCGGCCTCCGGGGGCCCTCGCCGGGCCTCGGGGCCGTCAAAAAAGGACTCAGGATGAGAAACCGGTCCCGGGGAAGGGGTCGAGACCTCTGGGCGTCGACGTAATGCAAACTTCATAACTTCGGGGGTCTGGGCATCGTGGGGCGGCCATCATGGCCAGCACGGGTGGAACTGATGATGCCTGCGTTTGGAACTTCAAGCCTCTTCGATTGGGTTTTCCTTCTCCCGCGTCGGGGCGGCCCAGGGCACCCACGGAGGAATGCGTCCGGGGTGACTGCGCAGGGGTACCCCAGAGAGGCGCCCAGGGAAACCTTATAATAGGATACCCCAGGAAGGCACGGGTAATTACCCCAGGGTACCCCGGCTAGGCCGCCTATATAGGGCAACCGCGGACCGCGGACTGCCCCGGCCGGGCTGCCGGGATAACCCCAGACTAACTACCCCGGCCAGGCCGCCGGGGGAAACCCGTTTGCATGGGCTGCTGGGGTAACCCGCGGAGTACCCCGGCCGGGCCGCCGGGATTCCAACCCCCGCCGGGCCGCCGGGGTATTCCGGAGTATACCTTGGCGGGCCGCCGGGGTAATCCTGCAGAGGAGGAGGAGGAGGAGGAGGAGGAGGAGGAGGAGGAGGAGGAGGAGGAGGAGGAGGAGGAGGAGAGGGAACTTCCCCTTCCTGCTCCTCCCTCCGCTCGCCCTTTGTTCGGCTCAATCAAAGACGTGGTGCTTGCGACATCCCAGCAAGTGATAACAAACCCTTAGGTTTGAAATGCATGTTGGGGCAACGTAAATAACAAAGCTTTGTTTATCAACAAGCTTTGGAGCCTGTGGGGGACTGCCAGGGTAAACCCGGAGTGCCCCGGCCAGGCGGCCGGGGTGACCCCGCGCGCGTGGGTACCCCGGCTGGGCCGCCGGGATAGCCCCAGGGTACACCCGGCAGGGCCGCTGGGGAATCCCCCAGATCCCTTTGTGCTGTGAAAAAATCACGACGGGCAGTCTTTCGCTATTTCCGGCCTCCCAGGGGGCCTTACCGGGCCTCGGGAGCGTCAGCCAAACGACTCGGCCCCGGGACGAAAAACCGGTCCCGGGGAAGGGGTCCAGACTTCCCAGACCACCGACGTCATGTTTTTTTCATGACGCGACAAAGTTGGGAGCCCTTGAATATATCCGGCGACGTGATTTGTTGCAGCCAGCCGTTTGTTTGCCGTCGGCTTGGCCCGAATGGATTTGGAAACCAGGGCGTCCGACGGCGTGATTTGTTGCAGCCAGCGGTTTGCCGTCGATTTGGGCCTCTGAGGCCCGCCACAGGGCCCCAAAAGACCATCAGCAACAGATCTGGAGCGAAAGCTTGTCCCCGCGGAAGGCGATCGGGACCTTTGTGGCCGCGCACTGAAACAAATATGCTGTTGGATGTCCTCCTCCTCCTCCTCCTCCTCCTCCTCCTCCTCCTCCTCCTCCTCCTCCTCCCCCTCCTCCTCCTCCTCCTCCCTCCTCCTCCCCCTCCTCCCCCTCCTCCTCCTCCTCCTCCTCCTCCTCCTCCTCCTTCTTCATATCGCGTCGCATCGGCGATGCGGCTCGGCGTGGAGCCCGATTGCATCCATGCCGGCAGCGCCGATGCATCGCCGCCGTCGCCGATGCATCGCCGATGCATCGGCGATGCGGCGCGAGCCTCCGGCCCCGTCTGCTCGGGCCCCGTTTGGGAGGCCTCCTGAGGGGAGCAGGGAGGGAGTCGACGGTGTCCGCGAGGCGGCCGGTTCGGCTGCGCCGCAGTCGGTGGCGCTCGGTCAATTCGGTTCGGTCGGCTGACGTGTCGTTTTTACGCCGCCGCGCCCTTTTGGGCTGCTCGCGGCCTCTCGGTCTCGGTCGGTTTCGGTGTCGCTGTCGGCTCGGTCGATTTTCGCCTGTGCTGTCGGCGTGGACGGCCGCGGGGGGCAGTGAGCAGCCAGGGCTCTCCGAACACAGCCACATCGACGTCATCGACCCCTCCTGCAGAGGTCTCGACCCAGCCCCCGGTACATCCCGGCTTCTCATCTCGAGCCCTGCTCTGACGGCCTCGCGAGGCTGGGTTGGGGCGCCCGGAGGTCGAAAAGCAGCAACAATTGTCCATCGTGATTTTCATGACGCGAGGGGGTCTGGACCCAGACCTCCTCGAGTCATGAAAAAATCACGACGGGAGGTTTTTCGCCATTTTCGGCCTCTGAGGGGCCTTACCGGGCCTCGGGACCGTCAAAAAAAGATTCGGGATGAAAAACCGGTCCCGGGGAATGGGTCTGGACCTCTGGGGGTCGCGTCATGAAAAAATCATGACGTCGGGGGTCTGGGGAGCTTAGTGGGCCGCGGAAGCGGCAGGACCGTTTCCGAAAAAGTGTCCCTTGAAAGTGGAAGCAGCAGCAAAGAAACGGCAACAGAAATGGCTCCAGGATTGGAACCGGAGCGGGAACCCGCAAAAGAACGGCGACGGAGCCGGTCAAAAAACGGCGTCGGAGCCGGCAAAGAAAACGGCAACACGGAACCGGCAACAAGAACGGCCCTGTCGTTTCCAGGGCCCATTTGAGGTCTGCGAGCAGGATGTTCCGCTCTCTTGATTGCCAGCCGGCTCAGGCCAGTTGGCGCTGACGCAGGGCAGCGTGCCGACCAGCGCCTCCAGGCTCGGCAGGTTCGCCGGCCTGAGCCCCAAGCGTGGCGCCGGCCTGGGCCAGGAGCCCGGGCCGACGGTTGCACGTGTTCCCCCCCGCAGGCCGTCGAGAGGAAGATAGCCCCTGAGATCCGGGCGTTGCATCTGCCTCGCACCGCGGGCGTCTTCGTGAGGTCGTCGGGCCCCAGGGCCGTCACAGATCGATCTGCCTCGGGCAAATAAAGCAGAAAGGTGGGGTCTGGGACTCCGTCGATGCGCGGCTACGGTGCTGCGATGCCGCAGTGCTGCAACGTGTTTCTGCGATGCCGCAGTTTTCTGCGATGTTGCCGCTGTGTTGCTGCTAAGATTTCCTGCGGCGCCGCAAGGTTTGCTGCAGCGTCGGATCCTCAGGGGCGGGCGCTTCCGCCCGAGGTCCCCCCCGACCCTCGCGGACCGATTCTGCTCTGGGAAATTGGGCTCTGATCGCGTCGCCGCACTTTGTCGACGCCAGGTGTCGGGGTGTGCTCCTGGACTTGCTTTTATGATGTTCCAACTTACTTTAGCCCTGATCGCCAGAATGAATCTCGAGCACCAACCAAATACCGAAACTCAAGGGTTTTTCACGTGGCGGGCCCTGGGAGACACTCGGCCGACACTGTTTCGACACTTTTTCGACACTTTTCGGGGTGCTCGAAATTATTTTTTGGATGTGATCTTCACGTACGATGGGGGCAACTTGCTGGTAATTTGTCCCTCCACCGCGCTGTTCCTAGGCCATCGTCCTTTGATCCCTTCCACGTGACGCCTGCGCCTGGACGGCCAAGCTGAGCCCGCGCTGTGCGCAACTGCCGCTCCCGAAGCGCGCGCGCGCGTGCACGCACAATCCACACCCCCGACGTTATGTTCTTTTCAAGCAGTAGCGAAGCGTCCTGGCCCGCCTATAGGCCCACCAAACAATGTTCTGAGAACCGCTTGTGGTTTCCACGAAATGTTCTTGGAACATGTCTGGCTGGGACAGTCCTGTTTTAACACAGCGGATCTATGTTCTAAGAACATTGTTGTTGATATTGGAACATTTTTGGGTTCTAAGAACATTTCGTGGTAGGCCTATAGGAATGCTGGGACGGTCGGTCCCTGCTCAATCTTTCATAATTTCCACCCCCCAGAGGTCTCGACCCATTCCCCAGGACCGGCTTTTCATCCCGAGTCGTTTTTCCTCAGGAGCGCTTCGCTGGAGGATTCTTTGAACGACGGAAAAGGACTGCAATTAAGTCGGGCCTGTCCTTCTAAAGGAGGAATATTCAAAAATTGTCAAAAATAGTGTTGGGACGATTTTCTTTGCACTTTTGGACCCCTGTAGGAGGACATGCCCGACCTAAGACTACAGAACTACAGAGCAGTTCCACAGGGAGGACGGTATGGACCGCACGGTCGGGCCGCCGCTTCGCCCGAGACCTTCGTGCTCTCGCTTCAACGCCGGCTACAGGTTGGTCCCGACGGCCGTACGATCCTTGGACGGCCCGTGCAAACAATCCAGACCTGGTCGCGTCGTTAAAAAATCAGGACGGGGGGGTTTGGGTTATTCTCGGCCCCGCGGGGGGCCCTCGCCGGGCCTCGGGACCGTCAAAAAACGACTCCGGACGAAGAACCGGTCCTGGGGAAAGGGTCGACTCCAGATCCGCCGTATTTTGGCTGTTTTCCCATCTTGAAATTGCGTCGGAAGTCCACCTATAAGAGGCCGAAAAAGTAGGGCGGAAATTTCTGCACCCAGCATAAAGTGGGGCGGAAATCCACAGAAGTGGGGCGGAAGCAGCAAGAGAAAAGCAGGGCGGGAATCGGCATCGGCGGGGCTTGAAAGGTAAGGCGGAAGTTCCAGGCCCTAGGTACGAATTTGCCCAGAGTAGGGTGGATCCGGAGTCAGGGAGGGTCGGGGCTGCCAGGGGCGCCGTCCTCCCAGACCTCTTCGCGTCGTGAAGAAATCACGACGGGAGGTTTTTCGCTATTCTCGGCCTCCGGGGGCCCTCGCCGGGCCTCGGGACCGTCAAAAAACGACTCAGGACGAAAAACCGGTCCCGGGGAATGGGTCGGGACCTCTGGGGGTCGCGTCATGAAAAAATCATGACGTCTGGGGTCTGGGCTGCAAGATTCAGGGCGTCGCATGTCTGGGAATGCGCTATAAGGTGCGTATGGCCGTGCTCTCGCCTCGACGCCGGCCGGCTCCGTGTGTGGTCCGGACGGCCGCGATCCTTCGTTCAAAAACAGGAAGGTAGACATTCGGGAGGGAAAAAACACATACAAACACAATTAATCGTCCCCTCCCAGAAAAATATGGGAAAATACAGGAAGTGGGGGGAAGACAGAAACCCAGAAAATATATGAAAATATGGGCAGTCTTTTCATTTGTGTGTATCTACTTGTGCGTTTGTGGGCCCCTTCACACATGGCCGTGCTCTCACTCTTGTCCTGGCTGCTCTCGCCCCTGTCCCGCCTCTCCACCGCTGCTGCCAGCAGGGTGCTCGGCTCGGGTCATCTTTGGCAGTCCGGCGAGGGCCCCCCCGGGAGGCCGAACGCAGAAGCACAGCATGCCGCCGTGATTTCCCCAATTGGCCGAGGTGTTTTTCGGCGGCGCGCCCAGGGGGGAAGTGAGAAGGCGCAGGCCTTCTCAGAAGGCGGCGGGGCTGCTCAGAAGCGCCCGGGGCTTTTTGGGGGGAAGTTGCCTGCGCCTCCGGGGAAGGACGAGGGAGCTGCTCCGCAGGCCCGGGGCCTGCCGAGCCTCGCGAGAAGGGCCCGCCCCCTCTCGCGTCCCGGGCTCCCGACGGCGCGATGGTCTCGCAGCGTCCACCCCGAGGAGTCGGCACCCCTCCCCCTGGACCGGCTCCTCATCCGGAGCCGTCTCTTGACGGCCCCGCGGCCCAGCAAGGGCCCCGGGAGGCTGGAATTAGCGAGCAGATGATGATGATGATGATGATGATGATGATGATGATGATGATGATGATGATGATGATGATGATGATGATGATGATGATGATGATGCTGATGCTGATGGTGATGCTGATGCTGATGATGATGATGATGATGATGATGATGATGATGATGATGATGATGATGATGATGATGATGATGATGATGATGATGATGATGATGCTGATGATGATGATGATGATGATGATGATGATGATGATGATGATGATGATGATGATGATGATGATGATGATGATGATGATGATGATGATGATGATGATGATGATGATGATGATGATGATGATGATGATGATGATGATGATGATGATGATGATGATGATGATGATGATGATGATGATGATGATGATGATGATGATGATGATGATGATGATGATGATGATGATGATGATGATGATGATGATGATGATGATGATGATGATGATGATGATGATGATGCGTCGCGCTTTGTCGCAGTGCGAGGGCGTCCGGGCCCACGGCACCGACGCACCCCCGCGGCCGGGGACGGCTGCCCAGCAGCCGCCGCCGCAGCGGCCGCCCTGCGGCGGCTCTCCGCCCCCTGTCAGGAGGCCGGCGGGCCGCCCTGGCGCGGCGCCTGGCAGACTGGTGGCCTGCAGAAGGACTGCGTCGACATGAGCCTCGCCACCTCGCCAGGCGCCGCGGCGGAGACGCGCGGCTCCCGCGCGCGGCCGCCGCCGCCGCCGCCGCCGACGACGACGACGACGACGACGACGACGACGACGCCGACGCCGACGACGACGACGACGCCGCCGACGCCGCCGCCGCCGCCGCCGACGACGACGACGACGACGACGCCGACGCCGCCGCCGACGACGACGACGACGACGACGCCGACGCCGCCGCCGCCGCCGCCGCCGACGCCGCCGACGACGACGACGACGGCGACGACGGCGACGACGGTCGGCCCCCGGGCCTCCCCCTGGGGGCGGGCTCCGAGCACTGTCTTGGGGAGGGGGAGACGCGGCCCGCGGCGGCGAAGGCACCGCAGGGGGCCCAGCAGGGGGCCAAGAGCCTCCTCCTCCCCCTCTCCTCCCCCTCCTCCTTCCTCCTCCTCCCCCCTCCTCCTCCCCTCCTCCTGCTTCCTCCTCCTCCTCCCCTCCTCCTCCTCCCCCCTCCTCCTCCTCCTCCTCCTCCTCCTCCTCCTCCTCCCCCCCAAAGCAGAGGGGGGGAACCCCGATCAAAGGGGCGGGGGCCTCTGTGGTCCCCGCCCCTTCTGGGAGGCCGGCCGTGCCACCGAGAGTTCGCTTGACAGCCTTGCTGCCCCCCCGTCGCATCTTCTCGTGTGTCCATCCCTGAGGCCTGGCCTGAGGCCTGGCGCTGCGGCAAACCCAGACCTCCTCGAGTCATGAAAAAATCACGACGGGAGGTTTTTCGCTATTTTCGGCCTCCGGGGGCCCTCGCCGGGCCTCGGGAGCGTCAAAAAACGACTCAGGACGAAAAACCGGTCCCGGGGAATGGGTCGGGACCTCTGGGGGTCGCGTCATGAAAAAATCATGACGTCGGGGGTCTGGGAAGGTTGCGACCTCGCGGGAGATCAGGATCAGAGCCCCGGACCCCGCCTTTCCACAGACCCCGTCGCGCTGTGGACAAAAGCCGCGACGGGGGGCGTTTCGCCACTTGCGGCCTCCAGGAGCCCCTGCTGGGCCTCGGGACCGTCAAACACGGGATGAAAACCAGCTCCGATGGCGAGCAGCACCGTGGCAGCGCACAGCCGCAGAAGGCGCGAGGCAGCACCCCCCTCGACCGCGGGAGGGCCGCTCACTACTGTATCGCAGCGTGGCCTAGTCCATCGCAGCCTACCTTGAACGTTCAGAGGCTTTCTTCGCTCCCGTCTTGTCGTCAACAGCAAAAAACCGTCCAGGGGACGGGGTCCAGACCTCTGGGCGTCGACGCTGCGAACAGACCGCATGCAGCGTCGGGGGTCCGCGGGGCCTGCCGGGGTCTTTTTCTCGAGCCGGGCCGATCTGCGAGGCCCCAGCTAAAAGGCCCGCAGCCGGGCGGGCACGCCCGGGGCGGCACAGGTGGCGGCTCCCGGACCGGATCCCGGGGACGACGCAAGGAGGTTTGGCAGCGCTCGGACGAGTGAGCTTTTTCTAGGAGGGGACTCTTCAGGAGCATCCTGGACCATCCTGCGAAAACGAGCCACGCTCGAAACCGATAAAAAAACACAGGGGATGGACGTCCGAGCGCCGGCACGGAGGGGTTTTTGGGTGCGTCGGCGAAATTCCACCCTCGCAGACCCCCGACGTCATGATTTTTTCATGACGCGACCCCCCGAGGCCTGGACCCCTTCCCCGGGACCGGTTTTTCGTTCTGAATCGTTTTTTGACGGTCCCGAGGCCCGGTAAAGGCCCCTGGAGGCCGAAAATAGCGAAAAACCTCCCGTAGTGATTTTTTCACAACGCGAGGGGGTCTGGGCTCGCCGCCGCCAGGCGCCATGGCGAAGACCTGGCACGCGGGCGGGGCGTCGGCTGGCGAGCACCCCTTCGGCGTCCTGGAACGCGCCGAGACGCCCGGCGAGCCCGCGCCCCAGGCGGGGCCTCGCCTGCGGCGCGCCCTGCCGGCGGTCTTCTTCCTCCTCCTCCTCCTCCTCCTCCTCCTCCTCCTTCCTCCTCCTCCTCCTCCCTCCCCTCCGCCTCCCCTCCTCCTCCTCCCCCTCCCCCCTCCTCTCCAAACCTCCCCTTCCTCCTCCTCCTCTCTCCTCCTCCTCCTTCCCTCCTCCCTCCTCCTCCTCCTCCTCCTCCTCCTCCTCCTCCTCCTCCTCCTCCTCCTCTCCGGCGACGTGGCGTTTCCCGCTGGCGGTCTTGCCCAGGTTTCGGCGCTCGGGGGCCACAGTGGGGCCCCGGGGGGGCCCTCAGAAGTGGATCCGGGGCCGGGACCTTCTGTCGACAGGATCGATGGCGAGATCCGAACCTTGCCCTTGCCATTCAACGATTCGCCGAAGAAGAAAAAACGCCATAAACATAGACGCTTTGGCGCTCCGCGCGGATTCCTTGGATCCGCGCTGGGCGCCCCCCCGGCGGCGCCTCTGGCGCCGCCCCTGGCGCGCTCTGCGCGCCAGGGAGGGGGTCCAGCGCAGATCCAAGGAATCCTGGCGGAGCGCCAAACGTTTATGTTTACGTTGTTTTGTCTATGATTTGATTCGTACTACTAATTATTAGTAGCATTATTAGTATTATTATTATTATTATTATTATTATTATTATTATTATTATTATTATCATTATTATTATTAGTATTATTATTAGTATTGTTATTCTTATTAATAGTATTATTATTATTAGTATTATTTTTATTATTATTTGTATTATTATTGTTGCTGCCATTATTATTATTGGTATTAGTATGATTAGTATTAGTATTAGTATTATTAGTTTTATTCTTCTTCTTATTAGTATTATTATTCTTATTCTTCTTCTGCTTCTTCTTATCCCCATCGCGCCCGCTGATTGCAGTCGTCTGCAGCTTCTCGGCCCGATAGCTGCCCCGCTCGCCCCCCACTCCCCTCCCCGCGCGCGCGCGGCCGGGGCGCCAGGGGCCCGCGGGGCCATCGCCGTTCAGGTTTCCTCACACCTACGCGGCGATCGTCGGCTCCGGGTTCGCCACCCCGCGCTGGCCCAAGTCGGTCGGGCCGGCGCCTGTGGCCCGTACGACGAGAGCGAGCGTCGGGGCCGACCGTCCGTTCTGAGCGGTGGTCGGTCGGGCAGGCGCGCCTTTCGGCACCCTGCCTGCCGTGGCCACTGGGCCTTGCTAGCACCGTCGCTGCTCGCTTTTCGGCGGGCGGTGCGGACAGGGCCCATGCCACGTCCTGCCGTTGGCAGGTCTCTCCAGCCTGCACCAGTCTGGTGGTCTTCGGCGCTCTCCACGCCGACTTCGGCGCAAAACTCCTCTCCCTCCTCCTTCGCCTTCTCCCCCTTGGCCTTTGGGGCGGCGGAGCAGGAGGCCCATCTGACGAGAGGAGTAGGAGGGGGGCCTCACACGCCGCAGCGCCACGCCTTGCGTCGTGGCGCAGCGCCAGCCCTCGTCTCGGGCGTTCAAGGTGCCGCCGCGCCTGGGGTCTCAGCCGCCGCTTCTACGCAAGACTTTCAGCCGCCGCGACAGAGACGCCCGACGGAGGGCACAGTGGCCAAAGGCGCTCCGACGCGCCGCCCAAGGGCTTCAGCCGCCGCGCAAGCCATGCCCGCCATTCCTGCTGCCAGCGAACCCAATGCCAGCGTGTTCAACGCCGAAGCACCAGAGGGGTGCCCTGCGAAGATAACTGCGCTCTTGGGAAGGGAAGTGGTGGACGAGGATCTCTCTTACCTCCCCCCAACTCCTTCTCCTTGCCTCTACTCCGCCACCTGGCTCACCTGTGCCGCTAGGCATGGCGACCACTTTGTGGGCCCCGCCTGCTCCACCGTGGGCGGGGGAGCGTCACTCGCGGGGCACGCGGGCTCTGCCGCCGCCTCGGTTTCCTGGCCTTCGGCTGGAGGCATCGCCGCGGCCACTTCTGCCGACGATGCTGCTCGGACCGCCGGGGGCGGATACATTCGCGCACCTCCAGGCTTGGGCCCGCTGCCTCCTGGGCCTCCGGTCAGGCAGATTGGGCCGCCTCCGGGCCTTGACGTCTTGGAGGTTGGTTCCCAGAGGCTCAGTGCGGCATGCCCGCGCCGTGGCGCGGCTGCGGCTTGGAGCCCCGCGGTCGTCTATCAGGTCCGACCTGGGGCCACGGCGTCAGAGGCCGCGCTTCCTCCACTGAGGACGCCGCCTCCGCCGCCACAGGGTCGCCCCTGGAGCGGTGCGTTGGCCCTGGTGGAGGCGGGGTGCTCCGTCGTCCCTCCTCGGGGTTCTTCGGCGGCCATGTCCGACTGCGGCCTTGACGGGGGTAGTCCCTCCTTTTCGAGGGCGGCGCCGCGGTGTGGCTCGAAAGGGGTTGGTATGCGCCCTGCCAGCGATGCTGATACGGCCCCGCAGGGAGGGGCTCGTACCGCCCCCCCAGCCGCCACCGCAGTCCACCAGCCTGGCACCCCGCCGCGGAGCGGCCCCAGGGCCACCTCGGCCTTACGCGCCGACCTCCACTTGTGGGACCTGCACACGGGCTCCGACACTCAGGGTGTGGATCCGCCGCCAGGCCTCTCCGGCTCCGAAGCAGGCTCACGGGTGCCGCCTTTGGTCGACCTCCGCGCGGCCCTTGCCTCGGATGGGGTGCAGCTGGTTAGCAGCGGGAGTATGCCGTGCACTGCGGCGTCGCCACTTCTGTCCGAGCGCTTCACGGTCGCCGACGGTGACCGCGCGGCCAGCGGAACACCCCTGAGCGCGGACTGGCATCGTGTCTCCGGGGATTCGCCCTCCCAGGCCAGGCAACTGAGGCCACCGTCCGGAGTTGCCGTCCCAGAAGCGGATGTTCATGCGCCGCCGCCGCTCCACCGTAGCGCGGTTGGTCCCGCCTCACTTCGGGCGGGCGCTGCCCGTGGGCGCATGTGGTATGGTGAGCGTGCAGGGCTCCTGCCTTTCACTAACCTCGAGGGCGGTGTCGGCGCGCCAGCTGCCGGAGGGCCACCTCCCCAGTCAAGCGCCCGCGAAGGGTTGCGCTCGCTCGGGCGACTCGGCGATGCGACCTTGTCTCTGTTAGCCCC